CCAACTGCTCAACGCTCATATTCGCAACCTCATGTATGTTCTCCGTCTCCAAAATCAACCGCTCAAGGATATTGGGATTAACACCTGGCACAGCCCGGAGCATATCCTGAGGCAAGAGGTTAAAGACCCGATGCTCGATCCCTGCCGCAGCCATGATATCGCCAGAGTGCGACGACGCCGCAATATCCATGTCTAGCCCTGTCTGGACGGCCCGAATCGGATCCGGCTCTGGATTATTCTTCTTCAGCTCGGCGAAGATTTCAGCTGTCTGGTAGGGGGAAGAGGACCAAATGATCTTGAGCCGGGGAAAGGTGAGAGTTAGGAGAACGAGTAAGTGCTGGGCGGATTTGGGGCTAGATGGGTTGACGAGGGAGCTGTTCGCGGATAGGGTGCTTGTGCCGGAGGAGGAGAAACCGAAGTCAGTGAGGAAGGTTGTGCCGGGGGTGGTTGCGGAGGCGAAAGCGTCGAAGGTGAAGGATTTGTTTTGGTCGAATTCGATCAGAAGAAGGGGGTTCTTGTAGTGTTGGAGCATGGTTTCTGCTTGGTTGTAGAGACGGCCATTTCGTAAAGAGGATATCAGGTCGCGGACTGATTTGCGTTCTACGCAGATGTCGGGCGTGAGGATGTAATCGCCGACTGTGAGTTGACATGGGACGATGATCATGTTGTTGCCATGTAGCAGGGATGGAAGGGCACTTCTGAACTCGCGCACATCTATCACGACTCGGGGTGGTGATGCAGTTGCGGCTAGTCGGCCGCCTCCTGCGATGCGGGTGTTCACGGTGCGAAGGAACTGTTCTTGAGGGTCTACTTGGCTCTTATCATGTGTGATGGTGACAGCCATGTTCTGTTGTCTCGAATTAGTAAAAATAGGAAATGGCAGGAGGGGCATCTTACGCTTTTTTCTTTGATGAGCTTTGTGAACGAGTCTTTCTCACGCCGTACGGCGCTCAAGTAGCGCTGTTCTTCGACAGATCCCCCGTAGTAGATAAAATAAACCCGCACGTCCCTCCCAACATGAGAGCTGCGATAGACCTCAACTCGTCGGATGAATGCAGGGTCTGGCTCGTACATGATGATGTATCGAGGCCGAACCTCCTCCAGAATATGCTCATCCATATCGCCGTCGTAAGGGTGTATGATGACCAAGTCATCCATATCGTACAATTCGTAGTAATCGTCCATATCTTCTAAATCATCGATAATGATCTCCTCTTTTTGGGTCTCTTCGACCTCAGTAGGCTGAATCTCCTCTAGGAGTGCCGACACCTGCGCCGGAGGTTCGATATCCACCTGTATACCGCTGTTTGGCGCGCGTGCTGGGACGGATGGAGTGCCTCCCCCCCGGACTCGGCGCCGCTTGTTCATTGGGGCTCTTCCTTGATTCAGAGAGCCAGGTGAGTTCACCGCAGGCGATTGAGGACCGTCACCCGGGGGGTTTGACGAAAAGTTCTTGCTAACATTAGACAAGGATAACTTCCAGTCCATATAGTCCCGCAGCCTTCGGCGCATCATAACTTCAGCAGAGCCCTTCTTCTCGTGAATGGCATCACCTGGATTCAATGTATCCCTTGTCTCCTGCTTCTTACTACTCACGTTGGCATGCATTGTGCCCATATACTCGCGAAGTTGCCGACAGGTCCGTTGGTCACTGCACATGATCAAGACGGTACTGTTGGACTCGTCCACATTGACTGGGTTGAGGTATGCGTCCGTTTCAATTTCCTGCAGGACCTCCGCCACGACTTCCCATTTTGGTTGTTCTTCCAGAACGGGCTGAAGTGTGGTAGGGAATGACGTGGATGATGAGCGGACTACATCGTTGCTAATACGCCCCTGATATACTCTTGATCTTGCGGTCTGAAAAAGTACATCGGCTGCGTCGAGAAAAAGCCATGGCGAATAGCTATGTTTCGTGGACCCAGGAGGCGGAGTATGTGCTGTGACGATCGTATCAAGATATTTAAGGAATGAGACGGCGTCATAGGTGAGCAAAGCACTAGATTATAGGTCAATTCATGAAGCACAGCATAAAGATGGGTTGTCGCACTGGAGAATTGCCCGAAGGTCTGATAAGTCACTGACGATCTGTCTGGTCCGGAAGCTCACACGGTGCCATATGGGATCCAGTTGGCGCCTAATTGCAACATCGAAGGACCTGTGTAAAGCACTGTCGAGGGTCCAGTCTGCCATGTCAAGCCCTGTGTTTGCTTTCTTTAGCTCTCCTATACAAATCTCCACGCACTCAAGGACAGCGTTTTGGATTTCGCGCATCTTATCACTCATCGGAACTTCCAGTTCGATCACCTCCGCTTTCCGATGGCCTTCAAGAGCCTCCGCGACGGTGACATGGAAGCGTGGCCACAAGGAGGTTTTGCGAAGGAAGAGATTGCGCATGGAATTCGCCAGAGGAGCAAATCCGGTCGTGAATGGTTCCGGGGCGTCGGAGAAGGCTTTTAGGAATCCACGTTTGTTGTGTTCTCGATATGCCCGGATAATGAAGGCTTCAATAGACGTTGCCACAATCCTGTATGTCCTTAGTATGTCCTCCTTAGGAGCACAGATATGGTTGCTTACTTATCAGCATGAAGCACGACCATACCAGTGACCTTCTCAGGGTCGAGCAGCTCTAGACAGCAGGTTAGGAGGATATGTTATCGCAAGACAGCAGTAAAGGGTGTCACTAACTCGACAGAAAGTCAACTATTAGTATCCTGGATGTTACACTCAGGATACCACCTTCGGAGTAGATCTTCTCGCTGGACTGACATTAGCTTGGAAAGTCATGGATCACGCATGAGTACATACCGCATTGGAACCGTGGCTCTGTCAGTATTGATCACCTTGAGCCCCCTGGCAAGAGGGGTTTTGCTGATAGCATAGTGCTCAGCCAAGGCTAACGGAAATCAGCAAAAGATGCTTCCACATAACCCACCAGTAAACCGTCTGAATCGCAGCATCGTACCTTCTCCAATCCATTCATTCTCCCGATCATCTGCGCCAACAACAAGCACCAAGTTGTTTCCCGCAGCATCATAAAAATGTAGCAAATTCGTTACCAGGCGTAAGAGGCCAAGTCCGCGAGCAAGGATTACCAACTCATCCTCCGAGCGCAGTTCGGTGAAGATGTCCTGCTGGTATTGCTGGAATTGATTCTGTCAGCAATCCCATACGTGTCTTGGGTTGAGCACACAATGCAGGGCCGTAAAATACTCACCAAGGGCAAGGACAGCTTCACCGGTACATTGGGGCGTTCAGGTGGCATGAGGAGCCTCTTGACGCGAGAAAGTCATCTTCCTTCGCGATGAGAATGACCAAAGCCAGCGCGTGATCACGTGGGGTATGATGTAATGACGCTTTATTGGAGCACCAGCAGCAACCACTACTGTGTGAAACATTTCACGAAGAGAACGATTGTCTATACAGAGAAGAAGAGACTGTCTTTGTCTATCTATCATTGCACAGGATGTGTGGTCAGTAAATGTGGTGTTGAAGTTGTGGTACCCAAGTCTGTGTGTGTGGTAATAATTATAACTAAAGGTTTAAAGGAACATTTATCCTCGGGCGATTAGAACTACTATGGAGACCGGGATACAAGCATAACATTATTAAATAGGATTGCTTCATAAACGTACAGCGATCGTATACCCCATTGGCATTGTCAAATTTCTTCTACTACTTGTTCAGTTCCTTCTTACGTGCCTCGATCTCTTCCCTTGGGACTTTGGGGGGCATGCCTACATACTAACTTAGTGAACTGCCACATGTGGAGGGTTTGTGGGACACAACGCTGACTTACTGTCAGGGATTTGAGGACCCTTGGACAAGTGATCAAGCATGGTAGCTTTCTGAGTTCCCTGATCGGAGTTCCTCTGCTCTTGGTTTGGAGCGTTGTTGTCGCTGTTGCCTTGTTGGGCTGGGAAGTCGGAACTCGAGGGGATGACAGGCATATTGATGAGTAACTGGTCAATAATCGAAGGTGGTGAGTAAGAGAGGAAGAGACAGTAAAGTTATGCTGCTGATAAGGAGAGTGCAGGCTAGTAATAGCAGCGAGGATAGTGATCGGGAAAGGGAGACTTTCTATATCCTTAAGTAGTCCTTCGAGTTGCAGCACATGCGATGACGTCGGTTGGGCTGCAAGTACCACCATAGTACTAGTAGTAAGAAGCGCGCCGTTGAGGCAATGCAGTCACGACTCTTTCACTTGGTTGGCGGTGATCCAGTGAGATCAGCTAATTAGATGCTGTCAAAGGCGATTCCCTTGGATCTTGCATGTCTGCCTAATCCATAATCGCCATCATGATTCATATATGAGTCGCAGGCAGGCACCCGTGTTGGTCTTTGGATGATGCCGCACGAGACCATTGTGGAACTTGGGAATTGCGAGGCTTTTTGCTTAAAAAGGATAGTTCTTGAGATAATTAGTCTCGCATATTTTAGTGCTTCGCATGTTAATACCAGCACTTGAGCAATTACTTAGAACTCAAGGACCGTCAGAGTGCAGTGCTGAGTGAGCGCCAGTTGCTTTCAGAGACGTCGGGATCCCCACCGCGGCGTTAGTGGACTTTAGTGGCTCTCCGTCGCTCTCTCCCGCCAACGCTCCTCTTCCGGCTACTTGACCTCTTCTCCCTCCTCCCCTCCCCCAAAGCCACACTTGCTCGGCCACCAATCCTACACTCTCACGGCCTTTCTGTTATAGATAGAGCCTAACTAGTATTCGCTCATTTCTTTCGCGTCCTTAGGGTAGCCCTCCATTCACCCGCCTACCCCACAAATCCTGGGAATTTCGACCCCCCTTTGTCTCAGACACATCCGTTGTTGCCGCGCCGTATCAGCTCTTATCCGTGCCTGAGGAGCAACCACCCTCTGGTAATCCGGACTCACTAAGTTACACCAGACACCCTGCAATACGCCTCCAGCAGGCGATCTAATTATTCCTACCTCACCGGTCATAATTCGCAAGCTATTAACTCGGTGTCTTCGTGTATCGATCCAGCGCTATGCCTTCAATCCTGAACGACAACGACAAGGAAACAGTCAGGAGAACTGTACCAAAGCCTGACAACAAAATCTTAGCGGTGGCTGTTGCGCGCCTCTACGTGGCCCACCCAGACACCCAGAGATGGACGTACACTGGCCTGCAGGGAGCTGCAGTTTTAGCAAATGACCTGGTCGGCCGTACCTTTTGGCTGAAATTGGTGGATGTATCGGTGAGCACAGCCTGGTAAATCATGCACTGTGACAGTTACTGACAGAAGACACCGTGCTGTGCTTTAGCCTGCCAATAGGGGAGTTATTTGGGATCAAGAGATCTACGATAACTTCGCGTACAACCAAGATCGCACGTTCTTCCACTCCTTCGAATTAGAAGACTGTCCCGCCGGACTGTCATTCGCCGATGAGAAAGAGGCCAAGACATTCATCAAGAAAGTACAGGAACGAGAAAAACATGCGAGCAAAGAGACACGGCAGACGCCCTTTGCATCTACCCGAGGCCAGGGCCCTGCTCCGGTGGTGAACGGCAAATCCGGGGTTGGACGATCGCTGTTTGGCAGCTTACTCGGCCATCGCTCATCGTCAGGATCTCATGTACCCCCGCCGGTGACACCTGCGGAACTGCCTCCTGCTCCCTCGATCCAAGTGGCTCCCCCGCCTCCACCTTCGGCCAGCCCAGCACGCAAGGAACTGCCGTTCGACACCAATGACCCTGCATTCAAGGGCGTCCTGGACGAGCTCCTACAAATGGGCATTACGGAAGACTTGATCGCCGAGAACTTCGATTTCATCAAGTCCTATATCGAACAGAAACAAGCGGCAACGCCCAGCCCGCCTTCTGCCGATGATCAAAGGAAAGGAAAAGCGCCGCCTCCACCTCCCCCGTCTGCGCCGCCTGCTCCGAAGGTGGCTGCCATCAGCCCACAGAACACTGGCAACAGCACAGGGAGTCGACGAGGTGCTCCGCCGCCCCCTCCTCCGACGAGGAGGACTCGAATGGATACGACGGATGACGAGCCTGCCTCGAAACGTGAACCGTCTCCTCCCAGGAACCGGTTTCGTGCGCCGCCTCCAATTGCAGATGCTGGTAAATTTGCTCACACACCATTGCCGCCTACTCGCCAACGGGCCTCGTCAAATGCTACACCCGGTCCTCCACCTCCTCCACGGCCTCCAAAGACTCCAATGGATGAGAACCACTCCCGCTTCGGCGTTCCCCCGCCGTTCCAGGGCGAGCGCAAGGTGTCTGCTCCTCCCGCACCTCCCAGTCGGCCAGGGCCTTCAGGGCCTCCTCCTCCTCCTCCACGCACTATGAGCCCTGTGCCACCTCCACAGCTACCTCCCAAAGTTCCCAATGTTTCTGCAACAGGACCTCCTCCACCACCACCCAGAAGCCCTGCTTCGCAGCCGCCACCACCCCCACCTGTGCCTTCCAATTCCCGGCCTATTCCTCCCCCACCTACATCAAGCGTGTCGCCTCCTTCGTCGGGTCTTCCGCCCCGGCCTCCTCTGCCAATTGGTATTCCTCCACCTGGACCTCCGCCATCGCATCCTTCACCTAGTGCCGGACC